GATTAGTAGCCACATAACAACAAAATTGAATTAGATTAGTCCATGGGGGCCACTCAAACTCAATTTTGACAACAATACCTTCTCCTTATAGGAGGAGAAAGTAAAACTTAGTGGTCATTCAATCCTAGTTTGGCCGATAAGTTACGATGAATTACTCGATACCTTTAAATATTTAGGGTTTACGATTTTCTACGAAGAGGCCTTGTCTTTTTTTAAATCATTCATTATTTGAGGCGTTAAGTTTTATGTGTATCACTTCAAGTTGCGTAATCTTTTGTGGTTAACTTCAAGCACAAGTTACTTCGTGTTTTCAGTCGGTTTCTCCTATGCTTCTAGTTTTAAATACCACGTATATGAAATTCATTGTAACACTAGAAATAGCAAGTGATTTTCAGTGAACCTAGCATTTACTTTAGGATTACTGAAAGTCTTGAATAATTAAAAGTAGACTAACCAAACATACTTATATACAGACTATTTATCCTTATTAAACGTTCTAAGACATTAAATCAAGGCATATTTTGTCCACTCTATGTGCAGTACATTTTGATATCCACCATTCATTTCTTACTAGCAGAGTACCCGTCCTTCGTACGGGGTTGGAATATAAGTATATAATGCTTATTGCAGTTATGCTCAAGCTTTGCGTTTGCAATAAGGGAGGACACAGTGTGATAAAATTTGCTTTTTTAAATTTACAGTATTCTATAGTATTACACATCTACCATAGCCATAATGTTCCACCACTTCACCTAAACAATAGAGAAAAATAAATTATCAACAATTCGCTAAATATCACAAATTATTCATGAAACGAAAAACATAAACATAACTGTAAACAATCCTACTTTGACAGTTCTCATTGCGAATCACAGTTTTTTGTTGCTGCTTAGTTCAAATTAGCTGTTTTCATAAATGCAAAAAAATATAGTGCAAAAAAAAATATAGACGGTAAATATACAAAAATATAAATATACAATATACACCACTTACCATCGTTTTTGTATATTTACCGTCTTGTGAGTAATAGTATAAGCGTAAATATATGTTTTAAATGTTATAAGACGTTTCTTTTATTTACTTTCCGTAAAATGTACACTAAATAAGAGTGACCTTATCATTTCAACGCGCTTATGCGATGTCAAATCAAATTAAAACCAACTTAAAAATTGGTTAGGTAATCTACTTCAAGTATTCAAATTCGATGTTATAATCTTGTTATTAGATTTTGTGTACACTGTCAAGTCCAATTTCAGCGAGAAATGAGTGATCGGGGTAACCTAGTAATGATTCTTTATCTGAGAACGAATGTTTGGTTTTATTCGTCAATCAACAAACAATAGTACCATTGTATGAGTAGGTATTGTACCATTCATTAAATGGTAACATAAAGTTTGTGTTGCGTATTTAGAATTCCAACTCAGATTTAGTTAGGGCTATCTGAAATTTTTTTAAGTTAGGCAGATTAAAAAATTAAGTTAAGTCGTAAAAATCATCTAATAAATCTTGTATGTGCTTCTAACCAACTACTCGGCTGGAGTCCTCCCCAAAATTCTAATAACCTCAAACCCCTCCCCCCCCCCAAAAAAATCTACCGTTGTCGCAGCTTGCGACATCAAACTACCCTGTAGGCTGGGCACCCCTGTTCACCGTTTTCAACTGTCCACCGAAATATCTACTGAAAAGTAAACCAAACTGTCATACATTTATTGATAACCATTTTTAGTTGACACCTAAATCCAGTTACATCTTATAGGCCTACACAATATAAGCTAAAATATAAGCAATCACAGGAAATCTCTTTTTATTTGCCGACGATACTACGATATTCAAAGGTAATAAATACTTGGGGCCAAACATTCAATGCAGCGCAAACAGATATGTTCCTTATTTAAAAATGGTTCTCCCAAAATGTATTATCATTGAATGTTTTAAAACAAAATATATGCCAATTTCTCTCAGACAACGTAGTGAGCCACCCGCCAACCTCAGACTAGTGATGCATGTTTGTGGAGATCCAGGTAACTCTACATGTGGTTGTTTATATTTGGAGAGAGTAGAACAAGTACTTGGGAGTGGTATTGGATAGTAGGTTAAGATGGAAACCCCATATTTAATATTTTAAGACAAAACTTAGGAAATTAGTTTGTATTTTTAGAAACATATGCGAAATTCTAAACATTGAAGAGCTAAAAATGTTATACTATACGTTTGTCCAATATATTCCTCAATATGGGATTATAGTATGGGGAGGAGCTAGTAGTAATATTTTAAAGCCATTGTTTGTCATACAAAAACTAATTATTAAAATAGCTTTTCAATTCAACAGGCGTTTCTCTACAAATTTATTATTCAAAACACTCAATTACCTTCGGTGCGTCAACTCTTAATAAAAACTTTACTTGTATATACCTACTCCAATCAAGATCTGATAGTGACGCCAATCACGCATAAAGAGGAGCTGTAAATGTAGGTATGCAGGTACCCCGAGTTTTCAAATCTGCAAATCTTAGAAATGCTTTTTATATTGCGATTTTGTTTATAGGAATATACCATCAGAGATTAGAGATCTAAGGGTATCTCTTCCAGTTTACAAACGTGCGGTAAGCAGTTTGCTGTCGGAGATTGGGCTGGATCAGTCTGAGACACTTCAGTTCAGTATACAATACCTAACGAGATTAATACACAAGTACACTGAGCAACTCCATTCACTCGACCACTTGTTACTTAGCAACTGTTTCTGTAGCTGTCTTATAGCTTACTTGTAAATCATATTTTGATTAATTTATTTTTATTTCTATATTAATTTGAAATTTGTAATAGAGCTCGTCCCACGCACAGGTCTTGTATGGCATATGCGGGACTATTCTTTCGTATTTGTTATGAATATTGTAAAAAATTTTTGAAATACTGTAAAACAGATTTTGATTTGATTTGATTTAAGATTAACCTAGTTTTTAAATATATGTGGTTCTATGGAAATCATCCCTGGTTATTATCTATGAGTTGGTTTGATTCGATAACACTTATATAAAACATATGATTCATAACAACGATAACCTCCGGTTTACCAACAGTATGTCATTTGACTCAGTCGTACCAATATTTCAACATCAAATTCCCTTCTCTCGCTTTCTAGAACAGGCGTCGATAATTTGATGGTTATTGCGAGGTTTTCCATTGTAGAACGTTACAGAGTAACAGTATTGAAACGGTTAAACCTGGATACATTTACATCTTGGGTTGGGTTTCAATGTCAGACTTTTTAACAGCTTCAAACACAATCTTAGTACGTTGGGATTCACACACTAATACACCTTACTAGTTTCTAAAGATCTAATACTTTACAACTATTTGTTTCTCGATATTAGTGCAGTAGAGCGTAAGGTTTCATTTAACATAAACAACTCAGTACTTAGAAATTGGTGTTGTGTTAAAAGCAAAGTTAGACAGTGTTAGCCCGTTAGCCTTTCTTATAAATTCTAACACGAAAACACGAAACCAAAATTGTTATCGATTAAAAAAACAACTTAGCTTGCAACGATTAAAACAAAAATTTTAGGGTTATGAAATTACCCATTCTAACATACGCTCTACACATTTACTTTACAGTAATCTCTAATGCACACACGTCTTCTAAGATAAACTAACCATGGCCATACAATAGAGGAACACATTTTGTAATTGATAAAATTATAATTTTGAAGTCTCAAATTTTAGGTTTCACTATACTATTCTCAAATACCTATACCTACACTAAGAATTATAACCGTTTTCAAAAGATCTACCACAAATTAGATAACCAAAATGTTGACTCATGTAAGATAACTAAACTTTAAAACAATCAAATAGGTACTAAAAAAAAAACAAAAAAAAACACCTAGATTTACAACTTACAGATACCTCTTTATAAGATAAAATTTCAACCTTAAGCTAGTAGTACTGTACTGTACAAGGGGATTTATATTACAGTATTTCTTTCGCAAAAAGTAAACATATTGACATAAAAATATACACATAATCAAAAGAAAAGAACGGCGTTTGCGTACGCTTGTTTGAAATATGCATACACACGAGCGCAAAACGAGCCTACTTGCACTGATACAGACGTGATTCCCACTCTTCCTCTTCCCAACCTCTCACTCTTCGCAACCCAAATTCTTGAAACTGGGAAGCATTAAGAGCTAATACGCATTGTTGTCTATGAGTTTTATTGTTATAGGGAATTTATTATGAAGACCCAAATGGGGTTTTCACAAGCCCATGATGTATTAAACATTAAAAGTAAGTCATCAGTTTTAAGCAAGGCTAGGTTTGAAATATATTTTCAATATGTGATTCCAGTAACTAAATTCAACTTTTTATATTAATTGTAAACATTTTAAGGAAATCGGATCTGTAAAAAAACTAATAAACGTAAACCTATAATACATACTCTATTTTTAGCTTGAGAAAAGCACACACGTTTCTTCTTATTTACAATAAATCTCCAATAGCACTAAACATCACAGAAGCAAAAATGCATATCAGCTGATCGACAAAAGAGTCGAGATAACACCAACATGAGCTGGTTTTGTCATTAAAAAGTGTATCATGGCAGTTGGAATGATTTGGGTTGAGTTGAAAATACTACCTGTATAACTAAAACAACATAATAGTGGAAGTTTTATTGTATTGAAACACTCACATCTGTTGACTAATATACCTTGTTGACTGGTTCAGTGACACCATTAGCCTCTGCAACAGGAGAAATGACTCAAGCTGTTTCCGACTTGTTTAGTCATTTTTTTTTACAAGATGATTACAAATATTTATTTACACAATGTAGCCAAAGTGACACATATAAAAAAAATATCCTATGCTACTTCATAATTAAATATTAAGATGATTATAGCTGGATTAGAATTAAATGTGTTTGGGTTATTACATTTAACTTTTATCGTTGTGTAGCTCATTGTATTCACTAATCTTGTTTATTCTAAATTCCAATATTTTTTCAGGAACGTTGGGACAGACTCACTCTAAACATTTGGACTTTGGATATGAAGTTGATGGACTCTTAGGTAAGTTTGTAAGTTTACAAAATTATTTCTTCAAAATCAATTCACCCAAAATCGTACTTATTATTTTTTCTGTATAAAATATCTTTGAATATTATTTGCTGTAGTTAAAAAGTAAAACAGAATTCAATATTTAATAATTTTAAAATAAAATATTCTTTCTCTACATCTGTTTGGGATCATACATGTAGGGATTCTAAGTTAAAAAATTACATAATATGTAAAAAAAACTCATTGACATTTAAATAAATTACTTTGTTGGATGTTAGATTGTTTTAAAAGGCACAAATTATGATAATGTAACTAAAGCTACTATAAAATTAATTTTAAAATACATTTAATTTCAAAGATTTTTATTAGAACAGGGGGACTTTTGCGGATGTTCAGGGTAGCCGTCAAAAACAACTTGTCTGAGATCCATATTTAATGTAGTCAATGTATCTGTTACATATTTTAGAGAAAGGTTGATGCTCTGGCCATACACTTTTGTGTAGTACTAGTAGGAACCCACCATCAATAACATACTGCAAATAACCATGGAAGTGCTTGTTTTCATTGGGGACTAGAGATTTATACAGATTTGATTTCCTTCCTTTTCGTAAACCGTTATTATCAAAGAACGAGAAAAAGTATGGACCCAGGTCGTAGGACAAGAAGTGTTCTAGTTTTTCATCAGATTTCTTAAGAGACGCTGATACGTTGAAACAATGTGGTGGGGTTTACGGTTAAGAATTAGTTCTCAACTTTCATAGCGTTGTTCATTATGGCAAGAGGCTGGACTCGGTATGCTCGTCTGAATCTGACATTACCAAAGCTAAACTTATCTAAAAGTCTTTCAATGCCTTTCATTCCGTTTTCACAAGAGCAATGACAGTCAAACTTGTGGTCAGCAACAACCGCTCATGGCTGCTCATGGTGCTGAGAGAAAATAAATGTGGGGACCGAAAATGTTCCTGCAGCCATCTTGGCGCAGATATATTAAATGTGCTCAGTTTATTATCATGAAAAAATAGTTACAATCGTAAGATGGGTTGTTTTCACGGAAACCTAATGTAAAACGGCAGCATTTAGAGTTTATTTTCATTTTTGGTACTTCTGGCCATTTTTAGTGTGCTCTAGTGGCGTAACGGTTTGTCGTTGAAGCAAATATTATACATAAAACTTGTAGTAAATGTTGGTTTCCTTAATTTTACAAAGCAGTGGCTTTTTTTCTAAAAAGCCATAATTACCAAGATTCAACCCAAAAACCTAAAATAGTTACCAAATTGTAAGGGTTTTCGCAAACTAAACAATGTCCCGGGCATAATATCTGCCAGAAAACCTAATATTCGTGTTCAGCGACCCAAAAAACATAACGGAAAGTGGCGATGTAGGACTGTACCTAAACTATCCGCTAACTGCCACTTATATTCCTAATATGCTAGCCTAATGATAAAATCTATAGTATTGAGAATAATCAGCCAATCGTTTTAAATACGATTCAGGTCAAAAATCTTTCCTTTAACTTTCCTAATATGCCTAGGCTACATGGTTAATATTTTAAATAGAAACACGGATTTTTATGTTTTTTATTGACTATTGGATACTACGATATACTATCTTGTATATTGAACATCAATGAAGTGGATTTAATTGTTTGAATACCCATAAGCTAACCTTGGCCAGTCCCGATGAAAAAAAAAAACGAGCAGGTTTGTTTAGACAAAAATATATAAATATATAGATCAAAATAGATTTATAGCCTATCTATGAGGGCTATTTAGAAAGTAAGAAACGTTGTGAAGTAAAATACAAGTTTGTACAAGAAATATTTTTAACATTTGAAAGAGCTAAATGACTAGTTTTCCACATAGTCACTCAAAAAACTAAGGAACTCGTTAAAGAAGTGGACGAGCTTTGAAATTCCATTGTAGAATTCCGCCGTCTGCTAGCTCAGTCACTCAATTAATTATACGCAATTGGTGCTCCTCGTCGTCAACAAAGGGCTGAGCTGCTAACTAAGTCTTTATTTTGGGAAACAAGTTAAATTCAATCGGAGCTAGGTCTGGACCGTAGGATGGCTGAGAAAAATCTCTCATTTGAATGAATGATGGAAATTCTGTGTTCAATTTGCCGAGTGAGATCGGACATTGTTAAAAAAAAAAAACATGTAGGACGTCAACTTTAATCCAGCCACTTTGTAACTGAATGCCCCATTTCTTAACAGATCTTTACGTTTTTTCTGTGGTTATAGGTATAATATTGTTTCCGTACACTTCACACAATTGATGGTAAATTTCTATAGGTTTTAATTTTTTTTTAACATAACCGCATTACAGACCCTACGTTATAACTGTCGGGCATTCCAATCGCAACTCACTTTTTATCTTAAATAAACATGGGGCACCACAATGACACTTCCGCTACGACGGTTGGACAGTCATTTAGGAGGCGAAAGCGCATACCAGAAAGTACATGACGCACCAATTGGCGTCAGACAGATTCGTTCTTTACTTTCTGAATAACCCTTATATTAATTTATTATTCCTCCTTAGTTCAACATATGTTAAGCTTCATCCAACTTTAAATGTGTTGTGGATTTTAAAATTGTTTGCCAATGAATAAGATTAACAATTAATTAATTACTCGCCCTAATCGTGTGCTCCCACTATCTCCGCGTTCCACCACCTCCGAAACCAAATCTGTCCCGCCACCTCCGAATTCTTGAGTGACCCTTATAATCCCGTCACTGCCTGCGTTGTTAGCTGTCATTGCATCCACGGCTGCGAAGCCCCGTGGATGGAAGATTTAATGAAAATTTAACCCGTGGGTTAGGTTAGGTCAGGTCAGGTTAGGTTAGGTTAGGTTAGGTTAGGTTAAGTTTGGTTAGGTTAGGTTTGGACGGAAAGTCTTAACGCAGGAAGTAACCGAGGATTATAGGGGTCACTCTGAAATTCGGAGGTAGCGGTACGTGGAGATGGCGGGACGCGGAGATAGCGGTAGGTAACCGCCCTAATCATGTAAAGATGTTCGTCCAATTTGTCCAATCAAAAGTACGACCACCTGACAGTCCTTCAAGTGTTATCTTTCAATATACAAACCATCCAGAGGCTTAATATCACACCATTTATTCATGACAAGAATTTATTGGACATTTTTTATATTGAATAAACCTTGTATATTTTGTGCTATTAATTGCAGGACCAGACAAATGGGTCAATCAGTTCCAGACTTGTTCGGGCAAGTATCAGTCTCCCATAGACATAGAGGAAGACCTGGTAGAGAGGGTTTCTCTGCCTCCCCTGATGTTCGAAGGATTTAAGGAGCTTCCCCAAGACACCATCATCATCAACAATGGGCACACAGGTAAACAATAGGTGTAGAAGGTAGCTCTTCCTATGAAAGCATATCTCCTTAAAAAAGTAACTTTTCCTTAGAGCTTGTATTATGTATAATGCTTGTCAGCTGATACCATCAACTGTTATTCTATTCTGGGGGGGATAAACCCTCAGCATATGCCAAATTAAAGATAATTTTAGGAATCCTAGATGTTTAAAAATACAGAAAAAGAATCAAAGATAGATCGATCTCCAAGAAGACCTGATCAGCTGCAAATTCAGATGTTTGTACTGCTACTGCCTGGTGATATTGTACATGTACACACTTCAATAACATAAACTCCTAGTCCAAAGTTCGTACTTAGCTATGAGGTAAAAATATGATACAGCACCTCTTGAAATGCAGGGTAAACCTTCTGACACAAAAAAAACTCACATTACTAAGACAGTGGAGTATTTGTGTTTTAGGAATAAAATAAGAATAAGTGAGTGTATAATGGGTTGAATAATATGTGTACCTTTGTTACCGACTAAGATCAGCTGTTTCCTTATAATACAATTTTTGTGTAATCAAAAACCAATCTCAACCGTAAATAAAATTTAAAAGATGTAGTCCATAGTCCCAAAATTTGATATTTTTCTATTCTACCTTGCATGGCTGGTTAGAAAGATTTTGAATATTTGGTCACCATTTAAATACTCGTATAGCTTTTTTTCAATTGTCTTGATTTGGGGTATAGTATAAGTTACGTTTCCATCCTATATCCTTAAAAACATCGAAACTTAAAATGTGTCTCACCATTACCATTTTTCTTCACCTTGATACTAACCTGAATTTAATTGAATGTGTTACAATGCAAAGAGATGATAGCTCTAGGGCACACTCTAAAAAATATTGCAATATAAAATAAATCCATAGTAGATATAATAGGGCAATATGACCCCACTTCCGGCATTTTTTGGCCCAGAACTTTTAAAATTTTCGGCGAAAAAAATGTCCGAAGCCCCAGGAGCTTTTTTTGGCCACTTTTCTTAAGGACCCAGCTCTCGACCTATACACCCATATATAAATTTTTTACTTTTTTAATACTGAAAAACACGTCTGGAAATGGTGAGCTTTTTTTGACCACTTTTTTAAAAATCCGGCTCTTGGCCTATACACCCCTATATAAATGTTCAATACCATTGTATAAAACCATTACTATTTCAAATCCACATCCATCCACATGTATATTCTCAAAATCATCAACTTAACAGTGCGAGATTTGCACGTGAACCGGGCGCGCTCCCGGCCGCGGGCACTGCCACACGGATCAAGTGAAGCGGTCATGCGACTGGGGAATCCCCAGGTGGCGAGAGTCTATATATAGAAGTGACATCCGGGTGGTATTTCATTCATGAGCGTGATGCTGACTTGTACACTGTGTCCCGCCTCGCTGTCCAAGAAGAGCAATTTGGTCCGTCATTACAAGTTAATACACCAAATGAAGGTGAAACTGTGCAAGGTTTGTGATTTAATCTGTGATAATAATGTGGCTCTAAAATCGCATATATTACAAAGGCATAAGAATTGTAACTTTTGTAAAAAAAATGTTGTTGGTCATTTTAAAAGACATGTCAATTCTTGCAATAAATGTCCATATACAATGATTAAATTTGTTGGTGAATCGATTAGAGCTGAACTTAAAAATACTCTTCAATCTTGTCCTCTGCCAATAAAATGGACTTTAGTTAGGAGAATCAAATTTATAAAATATTCAGTGGATCAAAATGGAAAATTAGTTAATGAGAAAGAATGTATTGCAGATTTTAGAAGCCTTACTATCCTAACCATTGAGAGGAGAGATTTAAAGCATCAAATTGAAAATGCTCTTTTAAAGATTGACACTTCCATGCACAAATACCAAGCCGAAGGTAGTGGATGGATATATGACTATACTAAATATTGGCAGTTGCACGTTTACAAGTATAAGCCCCTAACTCCAAAGTCATATATCCCCACACCAAAAAGTATTAAATTGACAAAAGCAGTTTTAAATATAAAGAATGCTGATAATAAATGCTTTCTTTGGTCAATTTTAGCAGCTTTACATCCAAGGAACTCCAATGAACATGCTGAAAGGGTATCGAAATATGCACCCTATGAAAATCAGTTAAATATGACAAACATAAAGTATCCTGTTAAAATATCTGATATAGATAAATTTGAAAGACAAAATAATATAAGTGTTAATGTATTTGGAGTTGAAGACCAAAAATTTATATATCCATTAAGAACAACTAAACTGAATAGTAATACTCATGTAGATTTATTATTATTACAAGAAGGTCGTAAATCACATTATTGTTTAATTCGTGATTTTAATAGGTTAATGCTGCGGTCTACAAAACACGACCATAAGAAGCATTTTTGTAAGCTGTGTTTACAACATTTTTACACTAATGATAAATTGGAGCGTCATATAACATATTGTAAAAACTTTGATGCCCAACGAGTGGAAATGTCTAAGCAGGATACATTACAATTTAAAAATTATAAATATCAACTTAAAGCCTCATTTGTGATTTATGCAGATTTTGAATGTTTTATAAACTCAAACAATCATACTCCATCTGGATTTGCATTTGTTGTAGTGAGAGATTCTAAGATTATTTCTGAAGAGTTATATAGTGGTGAAAATGTTATGGACGTGTTTTTCAAAAGATTATTTGAGACTTATGACTTCATTAAAAGTCAAATGGCGATATATATTCCTCTTGTAATGACTCCTGAACAAGAGGCATCTTTCCAAAACTCAACGCATTGTCACATTTGTGAAAAGCCCCTATATTTTGATAGGGTACGTGATCATTGTCATTCATCTGGCCGTTACCGTGGAGCTGCCCATAATGATTGTAATTTAAACTATAAAGTAACAAAGAAAATACCAGTATTCTTCCATAACTTGAAAAATTATGATGGACATTTAATAATGCAACACTTGGGAAAGTTTGATCGTAAATTAAATTGCATAGCCAAGGATATGGAAAAGTATATTTCATTCTCAGTTGATGATTTAGTATTTTTGGATTCCTATAACTTTCTGTCCCTTCCATTATACAAATTAGCTTCCAATTTAAATACATTTAGATTCATAGACAATCCACTACTACAACGCAAAGGTGTATTTCCCTATGAATATATGACAGGACCAGATAAGTTTGCAGAGTCTCTACCTCCAATTGAAAAATTTTACAGTACTTTAACTAAAGAACATATCTCTCCCATGGAATATGAACATGCTAAAAATGTCTGGACCCATTTTAATATAGACAATTTACAAGAATATCATGATTTATATCTTAAAACAGATGTATTGCTACTGGCTGATGTCTTTGAGACATTTAGAGACCTGTGTTTAAAAGATTATAAACTTGACCCCGTACATATGTATTCACTTCCAGGACTAACATGGGAAGCCTGTCTTAGAATGACTGGTATAAAATTACAATTATTTCAAGATATTGACATGCATTTGTTCATAGAAAGTGCAATCAGAGGAGGAGTCAGTATGATTTCCACACGTTATGCTAAAGCCAATAATAGATATATGGGCGAACATTATGATCCCAATCAAGAAAGTGTGTATTTAATATATTTAGATTGTAACTCGCTATACTCCACAGCTATGTGTGAGACACTACCCGTGGATGGATTTTGTTGGACGAATGAGATAGACTACAAATACAATCAAAATGATGAGTTTGGATACATTTTAGAAGTTGATTTAAAATATGATAAAAGCTTACATGATTTACATAATGACTATCCATTGGCACCTGAGAAAATGAATGGCAAATTAATACCTAATTTAAATGACAAAACTAAATATATTTTACATTATAAAGCATTACAAAAATATGAGGAATTGGGTTTGGTTGCTACAAAATACCATAGAATTTTAAAATTTAGACAGTCCAAATGGCTTGCACCCTATATTAATTTTAATATTGAAAAACGCAAATGTGCTAAAAATGATTTCGAAAAAGACTTTTACAAATTGTTAAATAATAGTCTCTTTGGTCGAACAATTATGAATCAACGCAAGTTTCGTGACATATATCTCAAAGATGAGTCACTATTAACAAAATATGTCACTAATCCAAGGTTTGACTGTAGCAAAAAGTTCGATAACAATTTACATGCTATACATTTAAATAAATTAGTTGTAAAGTTTAATAAACCTATATATTTAGGAATGACAATTTTGGATATTAGTAAAGTAATAATGTATGATTTTCACTATAATTATATGTCAAAATTTAAGAACAAAAGATTTCTTATGACAGATACAGATTCTTTAATGTATTCTATAGTTACAGAGGACTTTTACAAGGAAATAGAATGTGACTTGCACTTTTTTGATACCTCTGGATATAGTAAAGACCATTTCTTATACTCTGATAAAAATAAAAAAGTCACTGGCAAGTTTAAAGATGAATTAGATGGTCATATTATGTATGAATATTGTGGTTTAAGACCAAAGTTATATTCTTATATTCCTCTAAAATGGTTAAATGAAGAAGACAAGCAAGCTTTAGAGGTGAAGAAAGCTAAAGGAGCTGATGCTGCCACAGTTAAACATCTCCTCAGACATCAACATTATTTGAACTGCCTTGCAACTGGGCAAGATTACTATGAGAATGTGACAAGGATAAAATCTACAAATCATCATCTTCAAACCTTGACCATGAACAAGAAAGTACTATCATTTGATGATGACAAGAGGTTTATTCTAGAAGATGGCATCAATACTCTTGCACTTGGTCATTATAAAATTGATGTTCAATAAATTGTATGTGTAGATATATAATAAATGTAAATGTTAAAAAACTCCAGTCTTTTATTTATTTACCCTTACCATCCTCTTGATAGAATTGATCAAACATAAATCTATATTTGCCATTATTCTTTGACCTTTCTTTGTCTATTACGAAAAAGCCATATTTAGTTTTATCCCAACATTGATGACAGAGATTTTTAAATTG